GACGGTAATTCAGGAAGACATCTTTTACATGGAAAAGAGGATTTCCAGGTTTGTGAAGCAAATTATTTGCCCAGAAAATAAATGAAATCAAAATAATTCATGTAAACGTGGTAGATTTAAATCTGTTGATGTTTTGTTGATCCTGATGATGGAAACGTGTTTATTTCTACTGTAACAACCAGCCGCTGCCTCTGATCCTCCTCTACCCACTGATGGCTCATCTGATAATCGTTTAGATATGTGAATTTCAAACTCTAGTATTTATATTCCTATTTCCACACATCCTGTAAGATTTTTTAGAACCATCTGAATAAATTTTCAGGTACCGTATTTTCCACACTATAAGTCTCACCTAAAAACCTTCAATTTCCCCAAAAGCCGACAGTGCGCCTTATAATCCAGTCCTTATATGTGGACCAATATTGAGCCACAACAGGTCTAGCAACTACAGTAAGCAGCCGCCGACTATATTTTCCCCCGTAGAAGAAGAAGCGCGCGGTGCATGCTGGGATAGTTGTCAGAACGCTGGTTTGTAATCTATTAATAAAGTTTGACTGACCTATCTACCTACTGACCGTCTAGAATCAGGTCGTCATTTAGCACCACGTTCTCCACCAACATGCTGTGCAAACGGAGGAGGGTGGCCATCGTCCGACCCCGGTCCAGGAAGGCTCTCCTCGCTGACCGGAGTCGGACTGTTTTGTTGACATTCCCTTTAGTGCAGCTCCATCTAGTGGATGCATAATGTAACTCCAGCCTCTACTGTAGCGTCTATTCTATGCGCCTTATAGTGCAGAAAATGCAGTAATTATAATGAGTTTCTTAAATATACATCATCTTTCCCCCTATTTCATTTAAACTCCAATCATTTTTCATTTTAAGAAATCTCATGTCTACATTGACCTCAGGAAGCAGCCATGGAGGAACAACACCAATCGGATTAAACTGAGATATTTTCTTATCCTCTAATCCATACACTTTGTTCAGTTTACTTATCATCCATCCAAAACCATTAACTCTGGAACTGCATATCCCCAACAGTTTTGTAATATTTAGTTACATTCTCTTTTCATTTTCCTCCAATAAACTAAAGCTAACTGCGACAGACTGGCGACCTGTCCAGGATGTACCCCGCCTCTCGCCCGGAACGTTAGCTGGAGAGGCACCAGCACCCCTCCCGACCCCACTGAGGGACAAGGGTGTTCAGAAAATGGATGGATGGATGGAAACTAAAGCTAATTTAATTCTTCTCTCTCCAGTCTCTGTTAGAAGAGCGTTAATACGTGTCGTTTTCACCTCCTGTACATATAAAGCCCAACTCTGCAGTCTATCTGTTTTGTAGTGTTTTAGCTGCTGCTCCATGTATAAAACTGTCATAATCGATTATTGATCTCATTAGAGCCCTTTATATGTTTAATAATGACTGTCTAGTTATTTCCAGCCTTTATAGATTTATAACTTTCTTACATTTAGTTTCTAAGTTATCTAAATGTGTTTTCCATGTATAAGATCTATCCATACTCCTAGATATTTAAATTCTTTAACTCTTTCCACAGGCTGTTCATATAATGTCATTGTTCCTGTATCAATATTTATTTTATCTGTAACAACCATAAAACAAAACCAGCTTGCTGATAATTTAAAGCCCATTTTTCTACTTTATTAATTCCCTTCTTAATGTTTTCCTACATGTTTTATATTCTCCCCCTCATCCATTTGGCCCCATCATCTGCATTCACTGCAGAGTTTATTCATTTATCTGTATCAGGAAAAATGTCATTAATCATTATATTAAATAATATTGGACTAATTGCACTACCTTATCCCATTTTCCACATTAAACTCTTTTGAATAATCGTTCCCAATCTTAACTCTTATTTTTCTATTATACATCTTTCCTCTAATCCCATCTGATTCATTTTTATAAATGTCCTTCTCTCCACAGTGAATCATGGTTTTTATAATCATCACCTCCTTCATTTTAAAGTTTCTCTGTCATTAACAGGAGACCATCCACTGTTGGTCTCCTGTTCTACAGCCATTCATTAGTTTATTATGTTTAACATCATAACCTAATCTATTATTTCCTCCATCTATTTACTTAAATGAGAAGTTAAAGCTGTTGGTCTGTAGTTATTTGGACTGACAGGATCTTTCCTGGTTTATTAAACTGAAGTATTGTTGCCCTTTTCCATCTATTTGGTATTAAACCTTCATTCCATATTTTATTAAATAATTTTAATATTTCAATGTTACTTCTGGAATCTGTTGAAACACAGAACATAACTGATCCTCCCGTCCCTTTCAATCCCGTTTTCATTTCTTCCATGGTTATATTCATATCTAGTATTGACATGCATTCTTGACATTTTTCCAGAATACTTTTATAATTTCTAAGTTTCTGTATTTTCTGCTGTCTATGAATGTCTGTCAGATGTTCACCACTGTGAACTGCAGCAAACGTCTCCCCTAGTAAATCTTTAATATTTCCTGCTCTCTGACTAAAGCTGGCATTTTAACATCTTTCCTTTTCCCAGTCATTCTCATAAACGTTCTGCAGTTTTATTTCTGAACCTTTTGAGGAACAATATTCTCTCCATGGTTTCTTTAATAATTTTGAGTCATTGCTCTTTTCTTTTATATTCAATCAGGTTTTCTGTTAAATTTGTCTGTAATATTTTAAATACTTTAACTGCTCCACTGCGTTCATCAGTCCACCAAGGAACTACTTTTTCCTACCTTTAACTTTTAATGATAGAATTTGCAGCATTTAAAATGTCTTTTCTGTAAAATCTTCAGTGTTGCCCTTTAATGTGACCACATGGCTGTTTTTTTTCACATTTTAAATTTTTGCCAATTAGCTTTATTGAGTCACCATCTAGTTAATATGAAACCTTCTGATCCTGATAGAAATGAGTCAACAGGCTGACCTGCTAGAATAAATGTGACTTTTATTCCACCAGATTTCAGCAAAGCATTCATTCATACATTAATACGTCTGAATGAATGTAAATTAATGTTGCTTTAGTTTATCGCTCTTACCGTGACACAAAGGGCTGCAGAGCCGTCGGTCCAGGCAGAGCAGGTTTGGCGTTGGTACCAACCTGCAGCAGACTGGCAGGATGAGGGACGGCCCGTTTTCTACCTTCTAACATCCTGGTGTCGGAGCCAATGGGTCGGCTTCCTGCCTCCCAGGCTGGTCCTGGAATGACAGAGCAGCTGCTTCCTGTTTCATAAAGACCCAGAGCTCCAGCCTGGTCAGGTTATGTGTTATATTATATATTTAATCCTGTCATTAATTATTGAACTCACTGGAAACTGATCAGACTGTTAACATCACATGAACTAACAGGACAATCAGTTATTAATGTCTAGACATTAAGCTTTAATTTACTTTTGTACCTTTTCCATTATTAAGACAAACTAATAACTTTTCATCCATCATTTCAACTATGATACATGATGATCCGTCTTCTTGCTGCCCAGATTGTGTGCATTAAAATCACCACCATAATTATTGTAATGTTCCTGCTATTTCCTTAAACATTTCACTATGAAGACTTTTACAAGGATTATAATAATTTATAATGTTAATATTTCCATATTTTCTTAAATATTTCTATATTAACACATCCTGATTCTTTATTTGTTGTTTTTCTTCCTTAAAGAGGCACATCCAGGATGACTTCCTCCATCCTGTCTTTCTATATCCAGGGATTTTAAACTAGGTCAGGTTTCAACACATATCATATCTGGGATTATTTCTAAATCACAAATAAACGTTTTAAGTTCTTGTCCATTGACTATTCAACTTGTAGCATTGAAGATGATGCAGAACCTTTATAAAAACCTGAATCCTGAGGATTTTCTGCTGTTTCACTCAAAATGTTTGAATCTGATCAGCTTGGATTTCTTTCATATCTGAAAATCTTCCTGCTGCCGTTAATGTTGCTTTTATTTTATCACTTTTCTTCTTTATTTGTACTGTGACATCGATAATGTGGCACATAAATGCTACAAACTTTT